TGAGTGAACAGGAGACAAATTTGGGTCTTTCCTCTCTTCTTTTGCCTTGCGCCTTTAAAAGACAGAGAGAGACAGAGAGAGAGAGAGGGAAAAACAAAAGACGAGATGCAGACTGGCGGGAAACGATAGAGCATGCAGAAGGCACGACACGGTGGGTGAAAGATAATAAACAATAAGTCGAAGAAAAAACTTTTTTTTTTTTTTTTTTAATTTTATTATTTTTCTCTGTTGAATTGCTTTTATTAGTGGATGGTGCGACATAAATATATATTTTTCCATTTGTTCCATTTTTTTTTTTTGATTTGTTGTTGTTTTTGTTTTTGTTGTTTTCCGTCCGCAATGCCGCTCACATGTTGTAATCCCTTTTTTTTTGTTTTATTTTATTATTTTGCATAAAAAAAAAAAGGAAAAGACGGAACGCGTGAATTTATATTCCACGTGTGAGAAGGCAGCAGGGGTGGTGGTGGTGGTGGTCCTTTCGGTCTGTTTCGCCCTGACGCACCCCCACATCCCACCCACTGGGATTGCCGCTGCCGCTGCTGCTGCCCGTCACGCGGAGGTGAGGGGGGACACTAAAAAAAAAAAAAAAAAAAAAAAGAGAGAGACTGCCACCTTATCACTTCCCAAGGAACCTTTTGGTTTTGGCCACATGTTGCATGGATTTTCCTTATTGTATATATAAATATAAATATAAATATAAATATAAATATATATATATATATATACAATAAAATATGTATGTATATTCATGAGCATGAAAGCCAAAGGAATATTTATTTTATTATTACTGTTTATTACCACTATTTATTATCAAGAAATCATTGTTTTTATTGTTACTATTAATATTTTTATAAATTTTGTGGGACGTTGGGAGCAATGAGGTGTTTCCCTCCCACATTTAGCTTTATCATCACCACAGTACAAATTTTTGTTTATGGAAATAGGGGGGACAAAGGGCTCATCCAGGCGCGATATGAACCTTCATCTTTTTGTGAAGTGGGTGGGCAGTGCACATTTTGTGGTGTTGATATTTTATCATGTTCTCTTTTTGATCGCACGGAACACTTTTTTTTTTTTTTTGTTGAATTTCTACGTATTTTATTTTTGGTTTTTCTTTTCTCCCCTTTTCATTATCATTCTTTGCCACTGGTCCATTGTTGGCTGCTGTGACGTATCGGTGCGTCAGTCTGTGTGTGTCTTCCACCAGAGAGGGGGATGGGAAGATTTGTGTGTATTTATGTGTGCGTGTGCGTCTGTGGAATAATTGCTGGAAGCGTTTTTTTTTTTTTTTTGTCTTTCTGCGCGGTTGTTGTTTTATGTGAAGGCTGAGGAAAAGCTTCAAAAAGCAGAGGAATAGGGAGGGACGCAAGCAAACACACATCCACACCTACACACAGGCAGAGAAACGGGTAGTGCGTGGGTGCGACGTTGTGTGGGTGGCTGCGTACATTATTAGATACACGCCCCACACTCACGAAGGGGGCTGGCGGGCACACAAGGGGGGAAAGGCAAAGGATCTGTCAGCCGGTCAGTGGCGGGTCGTGCCGTTTCACCGCAAGGCGCTCTTTTTGAGGGAGAAGAACAGGAGGTGGGGGCTCGGGGCAGGGAAGTTACGTTGAAGAGACCCACCCGCGAGGGGGTAAAAGGACAGAGAGACTCGAAGGCAGCGAGGAAAGATACAGGTAAGGCGGGAAGGGCAGTGTGTGCAAATGGCATCTCGCGTGAAGTTCGATTTGGGGGACGAGGGCGTGGCTTTGGAGAGTCACCCTGAGTGCACCGCGTGGGTTTTGCAGCGAATAAAAGAGGAGCTCTGCTACGACGTGGACGGCGTCACGGACAAACAACTCCGTCTCATCAATGAATTTCTTGTCGGAGATGAGGAGCTCCGCGCAGTTTTTTGCTTTTATCAAGGTGTCGTGGTGGAGTCCGTGGAGGAAGAGGATGGGGAACTCAGTCGAGAGAACTCCAAAGGCGAGGAGTTGATAGCGGAGTTGTGCGTGGTGGACACACCTCAGGGCTTGTCAGAACGTATTGTGATAGAAGGTATGTGCACGGATGTGCTTTTCTTTGTGCGGCTGGACCCCGACCGTCTAATTGTACCAGAAAACGTTGACAATGCCGTCGCGTGGGGCAATTGCCGCGGTGGAAATCTGCTGGAATCCCTCTTGCGCACGCTGCAGTTTGTTCTCACACCCGTACTGCTTCAGAACCGGTGGCCAGATAGCATCGAGAAGGATGTACACTCCGCGTTGCACCGCTTCATGGCCGCCATGACAGAAAACATCAACCGACTACGAGGTCGTACGGTTTTGTACGTCCCCAGTGATCTTGCAACAGGTATAGGAGTGGAGGAAGCCCATATTGACCGCGAAATTGTCCAGCGCTTTGAGGCCACCGCGATTCATTGGACGCGACAGATCAAGGAGGTCGTTGGAGACAAAGATGTGGGCCTCAGCGGCGAAGCCGCAGGACCATTGGAGGAGATCGCATATTGGCGTTCCCGTGCACGTGACTTGGGAAACATCCGTGCCCAGCTGAATCGTCCAGATGTCGCCGGTATTGTGCAGGTGCTGAGGGAGGCAAAGTCTTTCTACTACTTGGAGCCTTTTTTGAATCTACGGGCCGATATTGAAAAGGGCACAGAAGAGGCTTTTGACAATCTGCGCTTTTTGAACACGCTGCTGGAGCCGTGTACGAGGCTTTTCAAAGGCCAGCCCAAAGGAGATTCCGGCGTTGATTCCGGATGTACTTGTTCATGCGCAGCTCATCCTAATTTACTCCCAGAGCTACAAGAAGGATCGCTTTTTCCGCCTCCTCCGTATGATATCTAATGAGATCATCTTTCGATGCAGTCAAAAGATTGACGTCCCGGCTATCCTTTCCGGTGACGTCACGAACAGCATGGTGGCACTGCAGGACAGCGTCACCGCGGGGGAGGCGTGGATTCGTGAGTGCCAAAAGATGCTTACAGCCACGCGTAAGCGGTTCAAGATGGAGAAAGGTGAAAAACTCGATATGGATGACTCCTTTTTAAATGAAATTGACGGTTTTGTGCGTCATCGTTGCCAGAACTTGCAGGAAATTTGCAAAGCACAAATGCAGTTTGGTTTTAGAGGTGCTCGAAACGAACAACGACAAAATGTTGAACGCGGTGGCGCGGGTCACCACAGACGCTCGTCACGCGGGGGTTCCGTAACGGATGGCCGCATCGTTCTTGATGAGGGCAATCGCGGCATGCCCATTGAGGTGAGGGAGTTGGATCAGCGGACATGTTCTTTGGGTGAACTCTTTTCCGGACGACTACCCATTTTTAGTGGCAACAAGGGGCCCGAGATTGAGGCGCAGCTTGTGGATATTCAACGTGCCTTCAAGGCAAAGATGGAGATGCTGCGGCATCTTGATTACGATATTCTTGACGTCAAATCGACGCGTTGGGTTGATGACTTCCGTGCACTCAAGTTAGACATTGATAATCTCTCCATGATGCTGCAGCAGATAATTGCTGTTGCGTTTGACAGTCTCAGCACAACGGAGATGGGGGCGGAGTGCATTGAGGCATTCTACCTTGTGGCGAAGGGGGAGGAATTGCTGTTGCAGCTGGATCGAGGCAAAGATCGTGTCTTTCGCTTGGTTGGGTCGTGTGTTTCACTGGTGCAGGGGAAATTACAGCGCCACTTTAACAAACCTCCGCCCTTGTTTTACCTTCACCCACCACTTGCAGGTCACGCGATGTGGGCCGAGAATCATTCCTCTTTCTTGGAGGGCACCGTGAGTGAACTGCGGCGCTGCTACTACCTGCGTGATTCCCATGAGTCTACAGATGTCATGTCACTTTTTGAACGTTTGGATCGCTCACTGCGGGAAACGGTTCGACAGAAGTACCTGGAGTGGAAGGCGAGTCTGGTGACGAACCCCAGCGAGTACTTGGATCGTTTTCTCATAACAAAGCGTCCGGGTGTTGCAAAGAACTCACCCGCGCTTTATGATGTGAATTTTTCCCCTGAACTTCTTCTTCTTTTTGCGGAGGCGCGGTACTGGCAAAGCCTTGGCGAGGTTATTCCGGTACAGATCTCTGATATTGTATCCAAGGAGGAGCGCCTGCGCATTTTCCGAGAGCATGTTTCTTTGGCGGTGCGGGCACATAACAATGTTGTTCTTTCACTGACGAGGGAGGAATGCCGTCTTTTTGCACTGCGACTAAACTTCCTGGAGAGCAAATACATGCCTGGTATGTCGCGTCTGTGGTGGAACTCGCAGGGCATTGTGGAGTATTTTGTGCGGGAGTGTCGTCAGCAGACGGAGCGGGTGCAGCACATTGTGGATGAGTTTAAGTATGGCATTGATTACGTGGATCATCACTGCAAGGCGATTGCCGACACTATCGCAGTGATATTTGAGAAGAAGAGGGTGTACACCATTGAGGCTTTTGTGGAGAAGCAGCAGAAGCACCGTGAGGCGGTTCTTGAGAAGCTGAAGACCATTCATCAGCGCCTGGTGCTTAAACTCTACGAGTTGCTTGGGTACTTTCGTGAGGATTACATGGAGGATGCAGCTGTCCAGACAGAGTGGCACCGTCACATTGCCAAGGTGGAGCTCAGGGTGGAGGAGGCGCTGCGGACCATGGTGAAACGCACTTTGCAGGCGGTGGAACGTGCATTGCCCTTGGAACCCCTGGATGACCGCATGGAAGAGAAGGTGTTTAAGCTCGACGTTGTCATTGCAGTTACAAGTGACACAAAGCCGCACATTGAGTCCGTTCCCTCCCGTGAAGTTGTTAAGCCACCCAGGTGAATGGGGGTTTGTAAGGATATCATTGGGTATTGTGAAACACATTCCCTCGC